TGTTTGTTTTATCCCATTTGTTAATTATATGCTTTGTGTTTTTAGAATGCCGCCTATGGACTGGTGTTGAAAATTAGCACGTGTGCTACATACACCTAAGCAAAGGCATCTGGTCTGTCCACTGGGACAGTCTCAATGTATTTGTGATGTCCATATCAAATAAAATAAACCTAACCTAACCTACGACGACAAAGTTAAAAGGACAGTTCACCCCCTGTAGTGCTAATTATCAATTTAGATTGTTTTGGTGTGAGTTGCTGAGTGTTGGAGATAATATAATGTAACTAGATGGCAGTAAAAAATACATTTGAAAAATTCAACAGCAGTGTCTCTTTAGAGAAATCATGACCTGGTTATTCACAATAATCCATAGATCTTGTTGTGAGTAGTTTCATGTTTTTTCTACCAAACTACACCTACCAGTCATATCACCACATAGAAGGAAGTGTACATCTACTCATGGATGAGAGGCTCATGCTCGTGACAGTACTTGTGTTCTGTTCTCCTTGGCTGAGCTGTAACATTAGCTAGCTCAGTGGTGCTAGGTGAGCTAGCAGTAGATGCCACTTCCTTCTGGGTAGTGATTCGGTTGGCGGATGTAGTTTGGTAGAAAGAAAATAGTTCCTACATGAAACTACTCACAGCAAGATCTATTGATTATCATGAGTAACCAGGTCATGGTTCCTGGAAAGACACATTGCTGTTGAGTTTTTCAAATGTATTTTCTTGGCACTTTGAGCGCCACAAGCTGAGTGCCATCTAGTTCCATTATACTGGAGAGAATGCAGACATCTCTACAGCCAATGTCTCCAACACTGTGCAACTCACATCAGAACAATCTAGATTAATAAATGGCACTACAGGTAAGAGGAAAACATATCTTATTTTGGGAGCAACTGTTCTTTTAATCCTGGACAAACCCCATGTTAGTCTTCATTTTATGTCATTGTAGACTGATATAAATCCTTGTGAGAACATTTGGCGATTTTAACATCACCTGAAAGAAAAAGGAAACAATAAAATATGTTGCTAACATCGACACACTAGTGAACAAGTAAGGATATATTACTGTATGGGAAAGAAAAACTATAGAAAATCCATATATTATCATTATCATTTTCAATCCAAAACCGGTTAGGTTGTTACCTACAAGTAAATATTTCTAAAACCAAATGTTTTATGGAAAACATTGTGTTGTGCAAACAAACAATACTTGACACACAGTGTGAAACTTGACTGGATAATGCCTTTCAAATGCAACAGCGAGTGGGCACAAGCACAAGGGATTGATCAAATCAATATTCTTTTTCAAGCATCTTTGTCTCCAGAGTTTACTTGCTTATGCATTTTGCTCGACGTCTTACAGTTTTTTTGGAAACCCTCTTTTGTTGAACTGATTTCATAGCGGGTATGGCATGGTGACTGAGGTTGTGAAGCAATGAATGTACCTGACACAGTAGGACGTACTGGACCTACCTGCCCTCACTGTGTTCCCTGGCTGTATTCAGAGTTTAGCCGTCGTTTGAAGGACAGTCAGAGAGACAGAGAGAGGGAGAGAGAGAGGGTGGTGCACCACAACACCGCTCACCGCTTCACAGTGGGACTCAACATGAGAGCTGCCAAGTGTACTGTGTGCCTGGATACTGTGCACTTTGGTCGCCAAGCTGCTACCTGTCTCGGTAAGTTACAGATGTGTTTGAAAGGCCAGCCCTGAACCAAATGATTCATATAACCTTTATGTAAATGAAATTGACATATCATAGTAGTTCATATTTGAATTTGTTGCCCTGTTTATAGACGTAAAATTAAAATTGTAGCCCTCCTATTATTATTCATTTTTGTTAGCTATTTTCTGTTGTGTAAATGTTATTACACAGATGATAAATGGGTGTTATTATGATGTGTGAAACCATGGTGATGGCTGCTGCTGCTCTTGCCTCTCACTCATTCTTTGTTTATAACATTGCATTTTATTGTGTGGCATTGCTCTCCTTGACAATGTTTTTTCTCCTCAGAATGTCACGCTTTGTGCCACCCAAAATGCTCCCCCTGCCTTCCAGCGACATGTGGTATGTCCAGCGACTGCTCCCTGCATCTGCCTGAGGGCCTGCTGCGGGACAAAGGCACCTCCCCAGGCCAACAGCTCAAAGAGGCCAGCGGACACATGCATCTGGAGGGTTGGATGAAACAGCCCAGGTTAGCTGTGGACACACAGCCACAGTGATGTCACCCTCCATTCAAAAATGTGTTTATCTCCCCTAAATTGTCTGACCTCGACTATACTTACCTATATCTGTGCAAAGTTTGTCACTAGATGTCACATTCAATGTCTGTGCACTTCCATAAAGTCTGAGATTCAAACTTATGCCAGGCAAGCTAGATTAGTTACGTCACTAGGGCAAAAGCCAATCGCTGTCAAATAAGGCAACACTATTCAACGGGGGACAGAAGTCGACACAACACAAAAACAAAGAAATCTGAAACCTTCAGTGCAGAGCGGACTTGTCAGTACAGAGAGCAGAGTTTGCATCAGTATAGTTCAAGTTCTGAAAGCAAAGTGTGCAGTTTTTGGGTGTAAATTGAACCTTTATTCCACTATCTACCAAAAACCCTACACTTGCCATTCTGATACGCCTGCCAGTCACACATTTTTGTGCACAGAGGACTTCTGATTCTGGGTCTGACTGAGGCTCAAACATGTATGGCTTAATCTCTCTCATGTTTTCTCTACTGCAATCCTGATGTGCACTGCTCTATTTCTGGTCACCATAGTGCTAGCAGTGTTAGAGACAGCAGAAAGCCAAACCAACTGCAAGCAGCAGAGGGGGACTTAAAGCTATTCTCTCATTGTTCTTTGCCATCATACATGGGGTTCTTACAGTTTCCAAACATTACCAACACAAAGTAGATTGTCTATATTGTGGAGGTTTGTGATGGCCAGCACCTTACATAGACGTGCCATGTTGTGTATGTGTTATGTCCTTCACAGCTATAAGTAAATTTGTCTCCAGTAATATGCCGTAGTTTCTCTTCAGTGCTCCCTCACTGTGGGCCTGTGTCATTTTCTCCCACTGATCAGGCAGGCTGATGTTACTCAACACAAGTCCTCTCAGGCACTCTCTGTTATGTTCTGTCTGGCAAAGTCCACCCATCTGGTACTTAAACAAGTTTAAACAGAAGCATTTGTAGAGTTCCCTGCAAAAACAGTGGATCCACTTCATCGTCTTTGCTTTGTAGTGATACGGTTGCCTCGTGTTTTTTCAGGAACGGGAAGCGAGGCCAGGGCTGGGAGAGAAAATACATGGTGCTGGATGGGACTAAAGTGTCAATCTACGAGATAGAGCCCAGAGAAGGTTGCTTTGTATTACTTGTGTAACAGAAAAACATACAGCAACATTTCATAGCTCTACCAGAGTAGATCAGTTTTTCCCTGACAAATACTGCCTCTAGTTACACACATCTTTTTTTCTGTGTTTTATCCAGATTCAGTGAAACCACTGGAAGAGTTTGACCTGTGTTTGTCAGATGGAGAGGTGATTGTTCATGGAGCTGTGGGGGCATCTGAGCTACCCAACACTGCCAAGTCAGGTACAATATAATAAGTGTGCTGTTCTCTCACTGTTGATTTGCATGCTTCAAAATCTTTCTTTCATATTCCTCTTCTTCACCTTTTAGAATTCTCCTCACCAGTGTCAGTCAACGTTTTTGTCTAGTTTAAGACTTCGCTGTTATATTCTATAGTTCTTTAGAAATGTTTTTTAGAGGAGTTTTGGTTCTCCAAGTTTGACTGGAGACCCCAAGGGGTCATTCACAGTGTTCCAGAGAGTCCCAGTAAAATAAGGCAGAGTTCGATTTTACTATGATTAATGAGAAACCACAAAAGTACAACAGTTTAAATTCTGAAGGCATGCCTTACTCATGTTTCCTGTGTGCCAGATGTTCCCTACGTCCTGAAGCTGGAGTCCCGTTGTCACGCCCCCTGCTGGCCTGGACAGTCACTTTACTTCATGGCTCCCAGTTTCCCAGACAAACAGCGCTGGGTGGCTGTCATGGAGTCTGTGGTGGCCGGGGGGCGAGCCTCACGGGAGAAAGCCGAGGCCGACGCAGTGAGTATCTCTGGAGCAAGCGGGGAAAAATTGGGGCAACTGGCTCGCTGTGTCCATGATGTCTGCTGACTCAGATCATGAAACTTTATGACCACACCCACAGATAACTGTTTTGTCTGTGGCTGTGGTTGTAAACTCGCTGTTTGACTGTGTGGGGGATACGCATGAGCAGCAGACATTGTATTCTTCAACAATTCATTTTAAGACATAGGTTTTAGGTTTAGAGTTTTGATGGATAACCCCCAGTTCACTTATATGTGTCGTTAATTGTCCCCTTCTTCTCTCCTCTTCTCTTCCTCCTCTCTCTTTGTCTTTCTCACTGCTGTTTGTTGCTTTTTCATCATGCCACATTGTATGTCCGGTATATGGGCGTGTTTTGTTGATTTGCTCTATTCTGCCCATTCCATTGGGTTTCATTGCACACATAGGCTGCTGTGTCCAAAAGACAAATGGTTCTGTCTCCTCTGGTCCAGGTAAAAAGTTACACAGATATAGACATAAGACTTACTGACAGACACACACACACCTGCATATCCTACACGAGGCACGCAGTAGTGCATGTGTTTGTCATTGTGTTAGTTGGTCATCTCCCCCCTGCTCCCACCTCACCAGCTGTGACCGCTCCTCACTCTCACTATCCTCTGCTACACTGTCATGTCCCGTGCAATCTCTGTGTTAATGTAATAGTTTGGATGTTGCTGAAATATGTCTTTGGTGTCCTGTTTTTTTAACACCAGTACACATCTTCTCACCAAGATGTTTGATCATCTTTGAGTTGATCCTCTCCAGCTGTCCTGTTCAGAGGACCAGGGATCAGACAGTGGGTTTTTACCTGCTGGTGTACTTGTCTGTGTTTTTACCCTGCTGCCCCTCTGCACACTCTTTAGAGAATGGGACTCAAGTCACGTGACTCTGACACATCTGTGAGACACAATTCACCTTTGAGAAACATAAATTTAACTGAATTTACAGTTTGGAGAGTCTAGAGTTGATTGTGGCATGTATCAGAATGACTTGGAAATAATATTTTCTTCATCTTTCTTGCCAACTCTTAAAGGGTAACTTTGGTGATTTTCAACCCGGACCCCATTTTCCCATGTTTTTTTGTGAAAGTGACGACTAGAGACTCAGACAACACAACAAATTGGTCCAGTGTTGAGTGGGACCCTGTAGACAGCAATGTAACATTAATAGACAATTGAGTACAATCAATTTATGTCCATTAAAGATGCTTGGTTTTGTCACTGGCAAACTCAGATTGTTATTCAAAGTGTCTGGCAACACTATGGACAGGATCCCCTACAGAGAAATGTTGTTACAGAGTGAGATCCTTTTTGTTTAACCAAAAGCAGTCCCAAAATCCCCATAACCAAACCCACCAGACTCTATTTAAATAATTAGCATTATCATTGTGAAACACCCTTAGCCTATACCAAATACCAAAAATGCCAAAGTTACCCTTTAACATCTGACTTGAATGACTTCCCATGCTGCTATTGCCTGTTCGTGCACAGGTAAATTCAGGTTAGCCAGTTAAGACTAAGGTGCCTCATGCTGTTACCCTTCACTTGTCATGGAATACATATTAACAAAACAACTTTATACAGATGAGGTCAGTTCTTTGTTGAGCATTATTTGCATTACAATGCAATGACTTGACTCACTTTCTACTTCTGACTGGATTTCTGAGAGTCCATCAGTTGTCGTTAGAGTACTGAAAATCTGTCCACCTTATTCCTAGCCCCATGGTACCCCGCATGAATTATGGGTACGACTTCCGGCGCCGAAACGGAACTGGCATTTTCAAAAGGTAGCTGCAGGTAGGCTACTCAAACAAATAAAGAGCCTATACAACTGAGAAATTATCAATCTCCCACTGTCTCCCCATCTCTCCCTTATCAAAACCGCCCCTGGAATCCATGCTTGAAACATGAACTTAAAACTGAAGACTGACTTGTGACTTGGTCCCACCTCTGACCCTGTTAACGTTCACACAGTCCTGCAGCCGTCCAGCCCCCTCTGTCCTGCTCTTCTGCTGCCTCCCTCTGAGGTCATGTTGAGGTGGTGACCCTGTTGACCCCTGACCTCTCTCTGCTCTTACAGAAGCTGCTAGGAAACTCTCTCCTAAAGCTGGAGGGAGACGATAGGCTGGATATTAACTGCACCCTCCCACTCACCGATCAGGTACTTCTGTAGATCACATTTCAGCGGAGAGCACTGGCAGTGTCATCTGTGCACATACAATACTTACACTTTGTTTCTTAAATAATTAATCTACTGATTTTAGACATTTTTCATGTTGATCATACAGAAAACACGTCTATCTGAAGTAGCAGTTAAGTATGTTCAAAAGTAGAATTTTTGAATATATGAAAGTAAATGAAGCACAGAGCAGATGCTCGGGGCTCACTGCCAAGGTTCACCACATGTTGCTCCTGTTTGAAATTTCACCGTATTCACCCGAATAATTATGGTTATGTTTCTGACAATGTGTTTTTGCTGTGCTGCAGATAGTTCTGGTGGGCTCAGAGGAGGGTCTGTACGCTCTGAACGTTATCAAGAACTCTCTGACTCACATCCCTGGTCTGGGATCAGTCTTTCAGATCCACATCATCAAAGAGCAGGAGAAACTGCTGATGATTGTTGGTGAGATGTCCAGCTTTGTCATTTTCAAAAGATATGGCTGTCGACTGAGCAGCAGGATTTGAGTCTAGGCTTTTCATTCAGTTCAGGCAGTGAGTGTTCATAAATCAAAATCCAATATCCTCTGCCATAACTACCTGCCGTTAGAAGTAACTGTCATAATTGAGGCTCTACAATTATTATTCATCATTAAAACTTTAAAAGGTCAAACTTCCATTCTAATAATTCTGCTGAAACTTGTAGATATGATTCATCTTGTCACATAGGGCAGTATGATGACTAAGAAGTGAATTGTCTTCTTCCTCCTGGAACATCAGCTAACTGTGTAACGTCTGTCTGTGCGCGCTGCAGGGGACGAGAGGGCGTTGTGTCTGGTGGAGATTAAGAGAGTGAAGCAGTCTCTGGCCCAGTCCCACCTGCCCAGCCAGTCTGAACTGGCTCCCTACATCTTTGAGACGGTGAAGGGCTGCCATCTGTTTGCTGCTGGGAGAGTAGGTCTTCCTCTGCTCTGTGAAACTTAAGATAAAGCAGCATGTCTGCTTCTTGGCTTTAGAGGTTTTTCTTTTTTGTCCGTGAGAAAATGTGAAACGAACATCTACGCTCTCGTTACAGATAGACAACGGACCTTGTATATGTGCTGCTATGCCTAACAAGATAACCATTCTGCGCTACAACGACAATCTCAACAAATACTGCATTCGTAAGGTTAGTATAACCTGTTTTCTACAATGAAATAGCAACCAACACAATGAAAAGAGGATTGTAATCAGGTTAAGAAAATGTGGAAAATAATGTCAAAACACAGATCATGGTACCAGAGTAATGTGAATTAGAAAGTAACTAACCTTTACACAGTTTATGTCAGTGAAAGCTGAATTCTGAAAAACAGAAGAGCAGCAGATCATTTTTATGTCCTTTGTTGTTGAAGGAATAGCTCATCCCCCCAAATGAACATTTTTTATTTCCGTTACTCACCCTGTGTTAAGGTGAATTCATGAAGAAAACTTTGTTTATCTTGCATGCCTGCACTGTGAATGAAGAATCCAAAAACAGACAAAATTCTTGATGAATTGAGGTCATAGGCATCCGGGTTCAACAACAGCAAAATTACAACAAAACGTCTTTTACAAACTCTCACACAACTCCTTCAGTATAATCCAAGTCTCATTTATCCTGTTGTATGCTCAGTACTTCCCAAACAGAGCCCTTTTTGACGTGGAGCTGAAAGTAAAACTTACACTCTTCAAAGCCAGGCTCTATTGTCAAAACAATAACAGAAACAAACTAACCGATCACGGCAGAGGTAGACAAGCAGCACCAGTGTTCAGTGAGCTGAAATTACTGTGTCATCAGAGCCTGGCTTTGAAAAGAGCAGAGATAAGTTTCCCCTTCAGTTCATTTTTAAATTCTAAGGTTTTAGTGAAAATGCATTTCAGTAAGGAGAGACAGAAGAATGAAATGAAGATTAAGTGTAAAGCAGAATATAAGTGTACAGTTTAACAGATGATTTGTGCTCATAAGATTTAACAAAGGTCTTTGGTGCTTGGACACCAGAGGGAAATTTTTTGTGATTGTGGGACATCTGAGTGGCAGCAAGATAAATCCCCCCATATAGTTTAGACATTGGTGGAGGTGGTGGTGGCTGCTGACTGTGGTTAATGACTGATGAGGCAAATAGAGGCTGCATCTGAGAAGACTAGGTGGTGATGGGGAGGTGGAGGGTACGCACAGCTGCAGCATCAATGGACTGAAGGCAGAAATAGAAACCATATTTAAAATGAAGAGTAGATGATGGGTGAGGATGACAGGCTGAAGGAGAGGGTGTGTCGCTGTACTATTGGTTGATTGTGGATCAGCTGTAGAACAGCTGATGACTCGATTGACAGCCCTGAACACTGACAGCAAGAGATAGAGGGAGTGAATGGCAGGGTGCGTGAGAAGGTTACAGCCTAAGCATGAAAACGTCTTCCTGGCTGAACTTTCGCTAGGGCTTCATGTGCTGCACCAGTTGTGTGAGAGTTTGTAAAGATATGTTGTGCTCTTAATAAACATGGACCCCCATGACTTCAATTCATCAAGAATTTTCTCCATTTTTGGATTCTTTGTTTACCGTGAAGGTGTGTCAGAAAAACAAAATTTTCTTCACAAATTCAACGTAACACAAGGTAAGTATTTGATTTGAGGGTTCAAGTGTTCCGTAGTGTGTCAGGATCACATCATTTTATTTCTTTTTTTGTACTAAAAAGTGGGGGCTTTTGCCACCATAAAGGTTTCTATACAGGCTAAAGTGTTGTCTGTCACTTCCGTTTCCATTCTTCATCTCACAGGAAATTGAAACACTGGAGCCGTGCAGCTGCATCCACCTGACCAGCTATAGCATCATCATCGGCACCAACAAGTTCTATGAGATTGAGATGAAGCAGTTTGTGCTCGAAGGTGAGGACACAAGTAGACTGTTGCTGTGGTTTTAGAAAAAACATAACGCAGCATAAACGCAATAGCAGTTTTGGGTTAAAAGAAATTAAAACTTGAGAAAAACCTGTAATCTGCTCAAAGAAACATTTTCTGTTATTTTTTGCAGAAACATGACATAAATGTTAAATGTAGTATTTTATTGACGTTACAATCTTTCATTTTCTTTCCTGTCTGACTCTGGTGTATAGACCTCGTGCTGTCTTTTTTGCAAGCTGTTCCTGTACTTTATGATTTACCTGCTTAAAGAAACAGGTTATTAGGGTTTATACAATAGATCAGGTACCAGACAATCACAGGATAACAATTAAGATTCATCTGATAATATTTCAACAAGCCTCATGAAGCAGGATAATGTTTGTTGGATAACTGTGATCAGTGAATTTCAAAACAGTGTTTGACCTGATTCATCTGCTGCAGAATTCCTGGACAAGAACGACGTGTCACTCGCCTCAGCAGTGTTTGCAGCTTCGTCCCACAGCTTTCCCATCGCCATCATGCAGGTGGCCAGCAGTATGCAGAAGGAGGAGTACCTGCTGTGTTTTCATGGTGCGTCTGAATTAACAACTCCTCCACATGCTGTTGCTATGGTTTCTGTTTACATTACAAGATGGAAACATGCTGTATGCTGATGGAGAAGAAACAAGATAACTAGTGCAAAGCATCACAGCGGGGCTACAGTACAACCACAAGCAATGTTTTAGTGCTAATTAGTTTTTTTATCTAATACTACTATACTATAAATACAAGTCATAAATTGTACTTTGTAAAGGTGGGGGACTCATATATTTTGTATAATTTTTTATTTGACTCTGTCAGTGACACAGCTGCCTGCACACAAGACTCAACATGTCCAGTCTTGACTTTAGACACAATTAGAGGCACACAGAGCAGTGTATAGTAAGCTTTATTTATCTGGCAGAGTTTGGAGTGTTCGTGGACACGTACGGACGAAGAAGCCGCACTGAGGACATTAAGTGGAGCCGTCTGCCTCTGTCCTTTGGTAAATACACTTTGTAACTCCCACTGCTTTATGATGCAACAATACAGCAATCAGCAATACAGTATGGCATGTTGACACTGTCTCTGTGGTGCAGCCTACAGAGAGCCCTACCTGTTCGCCACCTACTTCAACTCTCTGGATGTCATCGAGGTCCAGGGACATTCTTCTCTGGGGTGAGACAGACCGGCTACCTCCGACCAAATTTGTAAAACTTACATTTTAGTTGTTAGCTTCATTTCCCACATCACTGCCTGTGCTTCCAGGCCCACAGTGCTGGCTCACCTGGACATCCCCAACCCTCGCTACCTGGGCCCTGCCATCTCCTCCGGGGCCATTTACCTGGCCTCCTCGTACCAGAACAAACTGCGGGTCATCTGCTGTAAGGGAAGTCTGATCCGAGAGTCAGGAGAGCTGCAGAGGACCGGCTCCAGCAGAGGGTCAGCTCCTGTTCTTGGTTTGAGCTGGAAAAAAAACACATGTATTGTGAACTGTATATTGAAATTCACAGATAGAAAATGCCATTGCTTTTCTTTATTTTTATTTATTTATTTTTGACAGGCCAACAATGCCATCTGCTGATAAGATATCAAAGCTTCTTGTGTCTAACAGACAGTTGGTTTTCCTGATAACACTCTGTTTTGAGACGTTGCTCTCTGCTCTGTTTTCTAAAGTAGTCCCAGTAAGCGAGGCCCACCCACCTACACAGAGCACATCACAAAGCGTTTGACCTCGGGCCCTGGCAGCCATGACGGCCTGCATCGGGAGCCCAGCACTCCACACCGTTACCGGGAGGGCCGCACCGAGTTCAGACGGGACAAGTCTCCAGCCCGACCGCTGGACAGGGAGAAGTCTCCCGGCAGGGTGCTCGACAGTCGTAGAGAGAGGTCACCTGGGAGATTCGGAGACAGCAGCCGACTTCACGCTGGGTCTGTCCGAACACAGCTCGCCCCTGTTAACAAGGTACCATGGGGACGTCCTGGTGGCTTCTTGGTATCACTGCTTTGATTCTGCCTGCGGCCCCTCTTTCTCCTCTTTCTCCGTGTCTGTCTCTATTTAGTGTTCAGTTAGGCACAGTAAGATTAAACAAAATCAAAAAACAATGTCCTCTCACACACATAAACACAACACAGGAAGGTTCCATTACTAAACATTTGGTATGCACTAATTTTTGTAGTTCAGACCACTGGTTCCACCTTCTTTGGCTTGTGACAGTTAGTAGCCTCGCATTCTCTATTTGTGACCCCTCGTCACACGAATGTTTGTAAGCTGTGAGCTAAGGAGCTGAAGATAAGAGATAAGATAAGATTCACCTTTATTGATCCCATAATTGAGAAATTCCAGAGATGAAGAGAGATGTTCTGGTTTCAGATTGTTCCATTTAAAGAGTTTACAAGTCTTCAAGAGATAAAAATACCCAAAATTTCACAGTATTTTAAAACAACTAAAACTAGAGACAATGTTGAGTTGAGATCACTTCATCCATGATGCTTCAATCTGCGAATTAAAACAAATGTGGATCAGGGGCCTAACATGGGAGGGGGGGCAGTCTCCCCTTCCCTACTCCTTACTAGCTTTAGGCAGTGTCTGTTTTTTCATACTTTCATACCATGCTCTTGTCTCCCTGCTCTCCCTCTGCTACGTTACAGGGCGGCTGTTTACAGTCCTGTGACATTATCCCTACCTCAGTTCAGCTCCCTGTTCCACCAGACTGACCTTTTAATAGAAATGTGAGCATCTGTATTTTTGACAGTACTGAAAATCATAGCGTCAGGATTTCTAAATAACCTGGTATATCGTAATACCGACATACCATTCAAGCTTACTTCCTTTTCTGTTTTAAAAATAAACATTACTAGTAGTAATGTTTTCATCTGCTTTCTATCTTGTTAATCAACTTCTGATCCCTTAGAGTTATTTTTTGACCCAAGTGGGAACAACTGCAAACCAAGATAAAAGGAAATAGAAGAAAAACGCAATAAAACATAATAGAAAAAAACAATATAAATGAAACATGCTCGAAGAAATAATATAAAGTTCAATGTTATCATTATTCCAACATGAAATATTAAGATACATGCAGTATAGAACAAATGAGAAAATATGAGAATACTTTGAAAGAAGCAAAACAAACATCACCTCTGGTAGCAAAGGTATTCTAATACTGAATAAGCACTTTGCATCTTGGATTTGATTATAATCCATGGCCCTATTCTTCATGTTGCATCATCCGTTAACACAAAGCTATTAGAAGCAGTCCTGTTCTGTGCACTGTAGCACTGCTCCGAGATGATGCATCATTCTTACAACTAATCCTTGGCCTCTCCATTTGTTCTTGCTCATCATTTCATTTGTCCATTGTACTGTCAGCTCACAAGTAAACTTTCAGGATTTATTTGCCATATTTAAATAAAAAGTAAAACAATTCTTGCTGATTAAAATATGCCAATCAGCCTGGCAATATTTTATATTTTTATGCCTCTGCACCGGCGATAGATGTGGCCAAAGGCATTATGTTTTCAGGTTGTCCGTCCATGAGCGCGATATCTCAAGAACGCCTTGAGGGATTTTTTTTCAAACTTGGCACAAACACCACCAAATTCTAATCAGTTCATTCTGATTTAAGAATGAACTGATTAGAATTTTGTGTTCAAAGTGCAACGTCACTGTGACCTTGCGTCCGTCTTATTCTCGTTCACGCAATATCTCAAGAAGGCCTTGAGGGAGTTTCCTATAATTTGGCGCAAATGTCCACTTTGACTCAAGAATGAACTCATTAGAAGTTTGTGGTCAAAGTGCAAGGTCGCTGTGACCTTGCGTCCGTCTTATTCTCGTTCACGCAATATCTCAAGAGGGCCTTGAGGGAGTTTCCTTAAATTCCTTTTCCTTAAAAATCCATGTTTTCATAGATGGAAACAGACATAGGTGTCAACCGCGAGTGTAACTTGACGAGTGCGTGTAGGCATACACTTGCAAGGTGATAATTGTAGTTCTTACTGTAAATACATTCTGTCAATAATCCAAAACCAACAATAAATGTGTCCTATTAAGTATTACCTGTGTCGCTGTAGCCCTGTCCTATTCCTCTGTGCTTTAACTGTACTAGAATACTGTACACACACACACACACTACCCTGCTGCCATAAATACTCATTGTTCCAAATGTGTATTTATCCACCTCAGGAAATAGTCCCCAACAGATGCACTAATTACACCTGTTTGAGTAGAAACAACAGAGCCCACCTGTTACAGGAAATTATTTTGCCTTTTTTTTCCAAAGTGAAACTATTTCTTAGTTATTTATTTCTAAAGATTTAGGTCTTCAGTAGGAACAGATGGGCTGAGAGTCACAGACAGGACAGGACAGTATTGAAAGATCAAAACTAACATATTATTAGTTTTGATCTTTTCATGTGATGTGTTGCCAATAACAAAAATATAGAATATCATGAGCCTTATCATTGAACCTGTGATATTTAATCCCAAAGAAGGAAATTTCATATTTAGGGAAGAAGTGGAAAAAATATATAGAATTTTCATTGAATGAATTACTATGAATTTAATAGCACGTAATATAGGATATAGGATGTAATATAAATGTGCACACTGTGTTGCGACTGTATTTGACTTTTTTCATCCCACTAGATGTTTTAAGGTATTTTCACAGGACATTAATGTCATAATTTGACAGAGATGGTGAATTTAAATGGCGACAGCAGTTCAATTAAGTGAACGCGACCTCTTTCCCGTTGTTGTCTTTCAGGTGTGGGATCAGTCATCGGTGTGAATGCAGTTCCACGCTGCTCCTGACTGGAGGTTGAAGAGAAACTATGGGCACCCTTTGATCCACTCTGAGTGCAAGCACACACACATGCACACAAACACACATCGCTCAGGCTGAACATCAGCCCCATCGCCTGTACATAGTGCAGTCACAGTTCCTCGTTCCACAAGACATAAGCCTGCACTGGGAGACGTCTCCTGCGACAATCCTGTCTTTTCTGACCCGTGTTTTCATGGGAGAAATCCCGCAGTAGATTAGGTGGCAGGGCACCTCCGCTGATCTACAAACCAAGAGAATCTACTTTATGATATGTACTCAAAGTTGTAAATATTGCTGTCTGAGTTTTTATAGATAAAGGGAATAGTCGGCTGGTAAAGCCATGTCTATTTTTTTTAAAAATGAGTTTCTAAAGATGTTGCAGGGAGATTAATGATGTCGTTGGTTACGAAATACAATATCAACATTTCATTAGAATCTGAAGTATCATGTTAGGTTTTTTCTCCGTTCAGAGAATCAAACCGACATTTAATTACTCACATAAATCATGAGAGAGAGAGATCTGAGGAGGCAACACTTTGCACACGAGATTGGATTTGAACAGGAGTTAAGAGCTTGTTCTTGTTACATGACCAGTCTTCTTTCTTTGGATCAAATGTATGGTCCTCTTGACTCAATAGCCTTTGATATATAATTGCATATGATTGCTTTATTGACAGTCGTCCAGCCATACTTTGTAAACGATTATTAAGCAATGTTTTGCTCCAAGTGTTCCTTGTGTTGTTTTTAGCAAACCTAAGATCAAGAAACACGCAGCTCTGCCTCTGCTGCCGGACGTGGTGCAGTTAGGCCGGCTGATGCTGCCTCAGTTTGCTCTTAGTCCGCTGCTGCTGCTGCTGCTGCTGCTGAGTATGGTACAGATGTCCTGTTTCTGTGCAGTGATATGAAGTCTAGTAATTGTCAGGGGTCGTCACTTTCTAGTATCGTTTCTTTAGAGCCAGTAAGACCACTTCCATTTGTCACATCAGTGAGCATGACTAACTTAGAGCAGCACTTGTTGCTTTTTGATCTTGATTCTCTCTTGGTTGTTTTTTTCTGTCACGTATTCACTTGACTTTGCATTCAAAAAGTAGACGTTGATGTTAAGACAGTAACTTAAGATTTTCTTGATTTTTAGAGATGTATACCAGTACATGCATTAAACATGATTGAAGTGTTTGACTGTTTTCTTTGTGTGCGTGCGTGTGTGTTTTCAGCTGCAGATATTCCATCAGGCATCAGCTTTTATCAGTGAGAGCAGATATCAGGTGCGGCTAGCAGACAACACAGTAGGTTTATCTAGTTTATTCTTCCTTTAATTCTACAACAATGTAATGCTCTTTAAAGTAAATCCGACAAAACAAAATATTCAGACTGAACAAGGAGCACTTGTTGTTACAGGAAATTGCTATGTACAGCTACACACTCCTCTGACAGACATGAGAAGGTTCAAAGTGCTTATCAAACAGAAGGGAAGAAAGGGAGGAAAATCAAACAAAAGCACGAGTGATCCCTTTGTGAGAGACCCGTAATAAAACTGCTTGGCACCAGTCTCCACCAAAAGAGACACACACACACACACAGCCACACTAACTTTCAATGCATTCACACGTCCACACTCACGTCAAGTGATTACTGGGCCGTTGCAGCGACGCCTCTGATAGAGCACGTCAGCGTGAGTGAAGAGAAATACAACATATGCAGACCAAGAGAACTTCTTGAGAGGAAAAAAAAAGCACAGCAAGGGATCACACTGGCAACATGTGTTAACTGATGACCTGTGCACCACATTACCCGACCCTCCCACATGACCATAATGCTCGTTACAATACTGAAAAGCACAGCAAACTTTCAGTTTCAGCTTAATTTTTGATGCACTCTGTGGCAGTGTCTACTTAATGTCATGTGCAAAAAAGCTTTTTTTTTTTTTTTTTTTTTTTTTTAAAAGTCAATTCACATTCATGGATTGTTGAACAAGACGAGCTTGGTGCCCCACATGCCTGTGATAGTGGTGAAAATATAGAGTAAGGATTCATGCTGCCAGCTGTCTGTCTCTGCAGGGGAGGCAAAAGAGCTTTGGCCTCACACTAGGCTAAAAAAAAGGGACACTTAGCTGTCTTTTTTCAAATTAAGTCCTTTGTTGGCATTCTGTATTCAAAAGATCGTATGATGAAGCAGCTAACGTTTTCTTTCAACTCTTAGGACATAGACACAAAGATTTGGGAGGAGTGTGAAGCCTTGAAGTACATCCTGATTGAGGATTACAGGCCAGCTTTACATCACCATTATAAACTTAGATGTAAAGTCAGTATTCTGGTTGCAGATCAGTGTTCCAGTTTATCTAAATCTCTGCAGATAACAGAAAGCAGACCTGGATTAAAGAGGGGCTAGTCAGGGTCAAACCAAACTGTGAATGTGCTGCACATCTAATGCAGTAGTACCATCTCAAATAAATTCAAAGACATGAATGTTTGGACAGTTCATGTTTCTCTTGTTGTGGCATCACTTGTCCAGGTGTATAATTATTACACTGACAGAAATGACAGCGTCTCATCTATGAGGGCCAAACAAATTCTTCTATCCTTTAAAAGACTGAAGGTGGAGCTGTTGAATGAAACACCTTCACCACTTCCACATGAGGGCAGTGAGAAAAACACACACTTCAAGCCTGTTGTTCTGAGATCACCTTAAACAGCGGCTCCACTGCACACTTCAATCACCTGCTGACATTTAAATCCAATCAGTGATGTCAGGAACACAAGATCAGAGATACAGTTGCAGTATGATTAAATAGTATCATGTTGTCAATCACCTCCTCTGATAGTCACAACTTCTTCATCCTGTGTGGTGAACCACAGCGACTAGCTGGCCTATGGCTAAATGAAGCGCAAGTGGGGCCCTCTGCTGACCTGACAAGCTGCATGATGATGAAGAAAGATTCAAAGATTGGCAGTCTCAACAATATGATCATTAAAATGAAAATCTGCAGTTGTGTGCTGTACCTTTACTGCTCCAGCTGGCTAAAGGAAAAAAAAAAAACAGATTTTCAAAAACAACAACAAAGGCCATTCTCGATGATGTAAATATGTAAAGCAAGAGTCACTCAGCTACTTCAAGCTCAGTGTGAATCTGTGTGTGTGTGCGTGCGTAAGTGTGTGTACAAAGTAGAGGTAGTGTTTGTAAATGGGTTTAAATGGAGTAATGTTTGTGTGTGTGTGTGTGTGGGGGGGGGGTTCATTTTGGGTTCAGGCTGCTTGTTTTGGACCACTGTTCTCTCAGTGCATAGACGTCTCATTGGCTACAGACACACTCGCTTTCCTTTGTTCATTCTGACGTGATGGTCACAGGTCACATGATGCTAGATGACACCTCTGACTTAACCCACTTCCCCCTCATAATCGGGAAATTGTTACATCCCCAAATCCGACAATGTCGTCGTGTCGTCATAGCCACAGATCAGAACCATCTCTCATTTCATAAACACTGATTATCCTGTGGCATTTGAATTGTCTGGATTTTAAAACAGCAATTCAACAACAAAACCTCAATAAATTAAATCAAAGTAATGATCGCATTTAAAAGGGAAAACCACTGCAGCATCAAAACAGGACACCCTGCTTCTCTATTTAAAAAAAACACACCTGTTACATTCAACAGGTCGCAAAATATAGGTACTTTCTGCAATTAATAACAAAAAAAAAACAGAAATAAAAAAAGGAAAAACTTTTTGGTGACTAATTTAGTGAGCCACTATTCAAGGATTCTATACATTTTCTTAAATGCTATATATGTATCTGAATATATTATTTTATTCATTTATTTTACAAAAAAAATGTGTGTATGTGTGCAAGGAGGTCATTGAATAAGTGTTAGGCAGACTGGGCGTCTCAGTGAAGCTTCTCTGACATATTTTATATGGGAGTTACAGACTTTGAAAATGCTATGAGCCCTTTCTGCTGCCGCTGCTCTCCTCCATGTTTCAGCCAATCAAAGTGGAGATCACAAGTGAGGCCACGTCCGACAGCTGCCTCCAAAAAAAAATAAAAAATAATAATTCCATGAAATAAAAAACGTTGTCTTTAGAATTTGAACTTGGAAGTTAAATGTGTCAAATGTATAACTTCGCTTGTGATTCCCACTAAAGGACTGAAAAGTGAGTGAGACTTTCAGCTCCCAGTGCCTGCTGGGTAAAAAAATAAGAAAAAAGGGGTGGTTGTGAGTGAAGGGCATGAAGGTATGGCTAACAGGAGAGATTACACAGTTAGTCAGTCCATGTCGGACACAAACAACCTGCAGTTCGTCTGCTGTCTGACACAAACTGACAACGCCAAAACACATCAGCTTACACTCCCAGCAGACACGTAACAACAGTCTGTCAGCGTGGAAGAGCTGAGCGGCCATCAGCTGTTAAAGGGTTGGATGTTTAAAAGCCTTTTCAATAGATCACTAACTAGTCCTGTTGTAAAACTCACATGGATGATTTTTTTAAAACAAATGAAAAATTACTCTCCTCAGTGTGGCCAAGGTAAGTATTCAGAAGTACGGTACTCTGAGACACTCTGGGCTGAATCTCAACACTAACTCAGAACTGATCCTCCTCTATTTTGTATTTACATGTCAATTATCTGTATATACTGTATATACACACTCTGTGTCAAAAGCTGAAAAAGAAAAACCTAAAAAGCAAGCAAATGTGTTGTGTTTAGATTCAGCCCAAATCATGTTAAAGGGTCAGTTCACCAAATTACAAAATTGTGGATTATCCAGACTAATGGGGACACGGTCTCTGTAGAGATGTGGCTGTTTAAGTTTGTAAAGGGACACTCCACTGGTTTTATAAGGAAATATCGGTTCACTCATTCAGAGTGCTACTCAGCCAATCAAACAGCTGTATCATGTCCTCTGTGGCTCTGAGGGGAGCTTGATCAAGTCTTGATGATGTCAAAGTGATGTCATCAGGGTCACCTTTCCTTTGATTAAAGACCACATACTTCTAACAGAAAGCCTGCATGGAGTTTGAAATATCTGGGTGGTGCCCAGGCAGGAAGTATCTAATTGAAAGACACTACTGAGTTGCATAATGGGAAACACAGTATCCAGCATTTTGGAGGTTAAACCACATTAAAGTCTGGATATAATTCTTTTTTAATCAGTATTTTGTAAAACATCTAAATGTGTGGAAGTGCAATAATAAATCAATGGAGTGCTGCTTTACAAGTCATTTAACAGTGCTTTTGGCCAAAGACAACAATTAGTTATTTCATTATCAAACGGTCAAATTACAGAAAACTCTCTCCAGTTCTAGCTGCATTTTTATTTATGTTTCTAAGCTAAATATCTTCTCTTTTGGATCATAATTTGGCCAAAACAAGCCATGTGAATATGTGACCTGGGGCTCTGGGCCACATTTCACTGTTTTCTGTCATTTTACAGAAAAAGTTGAGCTCTGAATAACTGATACAATGAGTTGCAGATTTACTGATGATGAAAATAATAGTTGCAGCCCTAATTCAATTCCCCTCCACTGTATCAGTGTGGCAGCAGAAACCTCAGAAATGAGATCTCAAAGTCTGGGAAACTGAAGCGAGATTTAGATGTATGGTAAAATGCTGCTAGAGGTAAGAGAGGAAATATGGTATAATAATTTGGGTGAAGTGACCCTTTAGGATTTTTCCTGAACAACATTTGTGAGCACCAGCTATCCAGACATTTCTAAAGCTGAGGGACTGTCTCGTGATTTCCACGTTGAACCTGATCGTACACCTTCCAGAGAAAAGAAGCGGTCCGAGCTTGGAGATGATGGTACGTAGAAGTCTGATGAGAAGCGTGGATGAGCGGGGAAATGATTCAATGGACCAAAGCTCTCCGAGAGACTTCAGCGACACAGTGAGACGACCTGCTCTGCCTGCCTGGTCCATGGCACCAGGATGTCCATTCTCACTCCTCTGGCGTCGGATTGCGGTCCCATCACAAACCCTGTGTGGCGAATGTGTGATTTTTCTGCTCACACACACACATACACAACCCACCCCTGTGCACACCCACCGTTCAAAACACTCGGCATCTTGTCAACACGTCATTCAGCTCCTCTGCCACGTCATCCTCTGTATATACACATTAAATTCCATATACCAGCACACACACACATTTAAGTACATGGGACATTCTGTGTAGCTCCT